ATTATAATTACATCTGCTTTCTTTTGATAACCCATTCACTGGTGGCAAGACTTTCACTGGCAAGCAAAATCACCTGGTGTTCACAATATATTACAAATTGAATAAACTAAAAAGTTTACTCACTGTCTTTCCTAATATGTGGGAACATCTGTCTCTCCATTGCTGACTAGGAACTAAATCATTGTTCTCATTTTTTGTACCAATGATCTCCAACTGCCTGTGAGCAACTTCCACCTACAGCAGAATAAAAAAATGTTTGTGATCACAGCTTTTTTAACCCACTGACTGGTAAATCACCCAAATGATTGCTGCTGCAATTAATAATTTGGTAGTTTCTACTGCAATTGCCTGTGGCAGATTACTGCTAATTATTATCGTAAGTAACTCAGACCACTATAACCAATAATTTACCATTGACAATTTTGGTATGTACTTGAGAAAAATTTCTGGTATTTGACAAAGCAAAGTTGAATAAGTTAAGAAGTTGGGTACTCATTACTACTGTGACACTAATGGGTTCCTTAAGTAACTTGTTGACTGACTGTTAAACTATAACAAACAACCACTCCCTCTTAATATTTAACAATATTAGAATTGCCTTTCTACAGAACTTGCCTCATCTTTGAATGTCATTTCATGACGGAAACACCCAGTCTTATTATGCCTTGACGCCAGCCATAAAGCTTCAAAATTTGTTAACCCAACAAATATTCTTGCATATCTTCCCTTATACTCTTCACTATCAGGGTGCTTCTCTAAAAGTTGCTTTGTGCAACAAGTTATGCGTACCACCAAGTACCTCATACTGATAGCTGCTGACGTCTGATTTTGAAAAGTTCTCCTTTCTGTTCAGACCTTTTACCAACAAGTAAAGAGGTTTATATGAGCCATTGGGGTTACTTTCCATATTTGCTTTTAATTGGGCCAAAAATATTTCATCCACTTTTCTGATCATTCTGTCTGCTGGAGGTAGTTCAATATTGCCAACGGAACATAGAATTGCTCATCTATTCAAAGTTATGAAAAGACATGCATGATATTACTGCCAAATGAAGGTGCACTTATACAACTTGAGTAAGCTAGAATGGTAAAAAGGAAACCATTGGGCAAAAAAAGCTGGTCATATTGAAAGAAGTAATTGTGTAGCAGGGATTTTAATTAAGAAAATGACTTGATAATTTAAGCCTTAATTTAAACTTGATAATTTCTGTAAAAAATTAATTAACATTCATTGTGGTTTAGTGCTACAACAAAAAATATCATATGTATATATTTAATTTCTACATACCAACTTCGCATTCTTTTGCTCTTGTTTGGTATTGTAATTCTTTAACCTCTTCATCTTGACACTTTTTCTTGGTTAGAGGAGTAATCAGCTGTTCCACAAGAGATGAAGATCCCTGTTTTAAATTTATAGCTTCATCTTCATTAGTGATTAAAACAGGCTCGGAATCCTTGGATCCACCTTGATTTTGTTGATCTTGACCATCATTAGCGCAATCTTGCTTTTCTAACTTTTTAATGGCTTCATTGCATTTTGCAGCCCATTGTTGCTCATTTTCAGTCGCAACAATTTCACGGAAAAGCCCATTGCTTGCTGACCAGTCATATTTCCCTGTGGAGAAGAAACAGTGTTCTCTTTTGCCATCTGCCCCTCGAACGAAAATCAACTATAAAATATAAATAAAATAATAATTTTTACATAGAATCAATCAAAATACATTATTAATATAAGTACGGATAGCTGGCATCATTATTTGAAGAATCTAATAGGTGAAACTATCATCCATAACGCGCTCATTCATTGTGTAGTGCCCAGTTTATAACACACTAGCAATATTTCTGTGTAAAAATTTTACAGGGACAAATGCTAGGACTAAGTTTCCAACTCTTGGACCAAGAGTTTTAAATTAATTTTAAAAAAGCTAACTTTGTGTTTAACACTGAATCATTTTCCTAAAACATTAATCACTAATCTTTCACGACGTAGAAATTACGCATGTAAAATTCCAACTAACCGAAAGCTATTTGTATTATTTTAAGGCTTAAATGTAGAAATGGATATTTGTTTATCCATAGGCGGCCCAGAACTGATCTCGCTGACCTCGCGCGATGACCTACCTTGTCATAATATAAGACTGTTCAGACAACATGAGGTCAGCGAGATTAGCGAGATCAGTTCAGGGGGTCCCACGCATCATACGTAGATCAGGGCCCAAATCGCCGTTTCACCGCCCTATAATTCATTTTTTAATCTATGGCCCTATCTTATATATGCCCTGATCAATTAAAGGCATGCCAGTCATGCACTTATAGTCTCAAACTCGAATTATTATCGCCCCGTCGTAAAATAGGTGGTTTCTGAGGGCCGAGGCGCCATTCCTTTTTTTAGAAAAGCTAGCACGAGCATTATCATAGACTGTAAGAATTCTATCATTTATACTTTGCAACCTCAAGATAGAAATCTGCTAAACATTGTATTATATAACTATAAAACTTTATATTTCAGTCAGACTGCTCAATATGGAGTTTTATAAACTATAACAGTCCATTATTACTAAACCTTGGCTTTAGCCATATTAATTTTGATGAGTGTATACTTCATAATGAAATTTAAATTTCATGCGATTATGTTACGGCGTGCGTTTTGGTATATGACTTGTGAACGCTAAACGAAGGCTAAGTGAACCTCGCTAGGAGATTTTACTTGTAGTTAAACTATATCAGATATTGAAGGTATCAGATTTTGCGCTTCAAGGCAATGACACCCCAGAAAGCGCAGTTAGGCGCTGGACTATAGTGAGTGGGGGAAGAGTATTTTAAAAATCGCTTTACTGTATTTTTATACAACTAGTGCCAATATGGTTATTAATTCCTTACAACAAACATATAAAACTAGGACTCAAAAGGTCGCTGGTGCACGCAGCATCTCATTTCAGCAGGTAGAGACCAATACCACAGTATATAATACCAAATATATTACCCTTTAATACATAGTATTATCTTTATATTAATCACAGTGAGAAACTCAAAAAATTAAAAATCATACCTTTACAGCCACGAGATTCTTAAATTTTCCCACTTCATCGCGCAGAACATGCGAATACTCTACACTATTTTTGGAATGCCGAATACCGTTGACAAACACGTACGCTTTGTCCTCATTTACTCGAATTGACCATTTGAAAGAAGGCATTTTTTTAAATATTGTTTGTTGACTGCTGAATAAACCTTGCTGAACAAAACTGCTGGTGTCTTTGGCAGAGGAAATAGAGTATATTTTGGCAAGGTTTTCTAGCGTCATACAAGGTGATAGCCTCATACAAGGTGATAGCGTCATACAAGGTGATAGCGTCATACAAGGTGATAGCGTCTTCGCGGCTCAACGAATCAGCGTTCGAGAACACAAAGCCGTAGGTAACTGAGGAATTTTGCATTGTTAAAAGGTTCAAAACTCAACCAATCAAAAACGTTTATGCTAATTAGCGACAAAAATCATAATAACGGAAAACATTTAAAAACTTAGAAGGGTGTAAGCTGATCTTAGTGAAAACCGGCTGCTTCCTAACTTCGTAACTAAGCTTGTCAGAAATATTTTGAAGAATGCGGTGAAAGACCAAAACGCATAATTGTATAGTTATGTCGTCGCCTTGCGGGCAGGGCCGGATTAACCTTTCGCGGGGCCCGTGGCATTTTTTCAGTGCGGGGCCCCTCAATCCCGTAAAGCATCAAAACTTTTACTCACCGGCTACAGAATTTTTGGGGCTCGGGTAAAATTCTCGTTAGGGGAGTAAAATCTGCAAAAAAATAGCAATTTGTGCTACTGTAGCGAGATAATGCATGACCAGAACATTGATGTAGAAAATACTATAGCTATAGCAGTTTTAGGGGGGTTTGGGGGCATCCTCCCCCAAGAAAATTTTGAGTTTTAGAGTGCAGCAAATGCGATTTCTTGCGTTTTGGGGGTAAGATTTCCGCAAAATCGAGTATAATATTGCATTACCTAAACTATAAACAACCTAAGACGTTTTCTGAAAGAGGACTAAATATTCCAACAACATGCAGTTTAATTTTATTCTTGTAGGTTTTTGGGGAGCCCTACAACCCTGGGCTCAGGGCTAACCCGCGGGCTCCCCCTTTGACCACCCCTCTAGGTGGCTCTGTGTTTACTTGAAGTTTTGAATTTCTAAATTTTCCCATTATTCTAAAATTTTCTTTGGAGAATCTGGTTGTAGGGGTGCCTAATTGGGCCTCGATTTTTGATTTCTAAGGCTTCGCGTTATTTATTTTGCTCCGATAACTTAATATAAGCTTTAAAGGCATTTTTATTTATTCATGGGGCCTCGCTTTTTGGAGTCACTTTATTTTATTTTGTGGCCATGAAGCTTTGTGGCCCTTTTTCCATGTCCCACGCACCGAAAAAAAATTGTACTGAGTAAAGCGCGGGGCCCCCAAAACCGCGGGGCCCGTGGCATATGCCGCTTCTGCCATATGGTTAATCCGGCCCTGCTTGCGGGTTTGGATTTTCATCCTCGCCAGAACCGGCGTCGCCGTCCACTATTGAAACTCTTCGAGAGAGAGAAATAGAAGGCAGTTCTATCGGTATTGGTTTCAGCAGTGACCATGAGAACACGAGGAGTCCGCAAAGTGGTAAGAGATCACAAATAAGCGATCTGTATACTTGAATATAGTACATGAACTATAGTCTATATCTACACAATTTTTATGATGATATTTAGTGACGAGCTCTCCTGGGGATTGTAAGACTCCTGTTCACTCACAGTTATCTAGCCTGTACTCTTAACCTGTTGGAATTGGATTTAGCAGCAGTGACAACGAAAACACACTAAGTCCGCTAAACGGTATGATATGTTACATTTCTACGTGTCTAAATAGATTGAGATTAGAAATATATATTCACCTGTATTTGGACAAGCGTTGTAATAATTTATTTTGTTCTCCATTTTCTGCTAGTCGCCAACAATCCTCGTATTTTTATGACTTCTCCACTGTCTCTGCGATCCTACTCAACACTCGAAGGAAACTCATCGCCTGCTAGCCCATCACCAGACAACAGCCCTTCTAAATGTAAGAAAATATTTTAAATTTTATTTTTAATTTTAACTATACCTAAAATTTCATAATAGATGTAATAACTGTATTTTAGTTGAAATTATAAATAAAGTGCGGCGCAAAAAAGGGCAAGTTACGTCTCTTAGGTTTCAATAAGACTTGACGCAATGATAAGACTTGCCGTTTGTTCTTTTGTGGCGAGTTGAAATATGAAATTTGGAGTATGCGACATCGATTAGCAACTAACCAATTTTCGATAGACTCGTGACTTGTGTTTTTAGCATACCACAATAAATAAATTATTAATAAATAGCAGTAAATTATTCAATGAAATGCTACGAACACCAAACTTTGACAAGTGGTATATAATAATAAATTTGTCGACCGTCGGCCTTACATGCGCTTCCAAGTTTTAACTAGCGTCGCGCGCGCGTATACAAACAAGAAAACAATAAAATAATTATGAGAAACATCCTTAAACTTTCAGCTATATAGCCTGATTCGAAGTCTATAATAAATTTGCGGCATTTAATCAACAGTGTCAATGATTTTACATTTTAGCCCAATCGCCTGTTAAACGTAGGAGAATGCTCCATTGTGACACCCCGTCTACATGCGCACAAGAAAGCAGCGGACAACGAAAAACAAAGCGAAGTTTAAACTACGAGGGTGATTCTGAAGGTAAGAACCACTTTAGACTTTAGTTGTTACTTGATCACTATTAAATTTAAAGCAATTCCGTGCTTTGGAAACAAAAATGCATGCATGCGCACCTACAGTCTTAAGGCATATTGCTGTATTCATATTTCAGTATCAGATGACAATGAATGTTGGTTTAAACGAAAAGTTGTTTTTGTTGATGTTCTGAAAAACTGTTCGGAATACGACCGGCTCGAAAATTTGCTAAACTATCACCAAGCACACGTTGAGACATTCCTGTCAAACAGAGTTACCCACATCATAACAGCAAAAAAATATTCTGCCTGCAGCAAAGAAGTAATGCTTAAAAATGTGCAATACAGCCGTGGAAAGAAAATGGTGCAATTGGCAATCAAAACCACACCACAAAAAAATAGTTGGAAATCCACGCAACCAGTGCTTACCCTAAACGATTTGATAAAATTTTCCGTGAATTGTAACAAACACATCGGCAATCGGAAGAACAGTGGTAATAAAAAGGTAGAAAATTTCACTAGTAATTACAGTGACAAAAAAATAGACAACCGCAGGAATGCAACTGTATGGGAATTGCGGGGTAAATATATTAAGGTTAAAGATGCAACTGGAAAGTATAGACCGCTTGTGGTTGAAATGAAAGACTGGCCGGAACTGGACTTTAACTGTCACAACACTCCCTTTGCTTGTCCAAAAGTTTTAAAAGCAATTTCAACTCATCCGAGTGTAAAAGGAAAACTATGCGAGCTGTGTAACATTAATTATAATACTAGTGACAAACATCATCTTAATGGATCAATACATCAAAAGAACGCGCATGATAATAAGTTGTTTCAATCGCTCGATGAAGCGATACAAAAAGGATCATTCTTGCTCAAAAATAAATAAGTTTAAAATTACGACTTAAATATTCTCAAATTTAATTGTCAATGTCTTAAACTTCTTATAAAGGAACAAACAAGAAAAACAAGCAAATAGTATTGGGAATCATCGAGTCTGACTGCTGTGATCTTGACTGCTTAAAAATTGTGCCATTTAAAGATATCGACAGTGTTAGACGTGAATTTATCTCACTTGAAAGTATAGTCGATGAAAGAAATTATATTCTCAATTATCTAAAAGATAACACGTCAACCACTCACAACGCAGAAAAAGGGAAAACAACTGTGTTCAGAATAAAAGGAACACAAGTCTGTAAGCAAGCTTGGATAAAAGTCCATGACATAAAGCTACAAAGATTCCAGAAGATATATCTTGATTTTAAAAATGGTTCAGAAGTGTACGTCCATGGAAACAGTGGATTGAAAAGGCCCACAACAAAGACGGCAGAATGTATAGCATGGCTGAGATTTCTGGTTAACTCAATTGGTGCCCAACAACCAGATAGTGGAAAAGTTCATTTACCATCCTGCTTTACAAAATTGGCTTTGTACCAGAAAATGTTAAGTGACCTGGATTCTGAAGATACCATCAGTAGGTCACAATTTTATAGCATCATGGAGAAAGAATTTAAACATGTCTCAATACCAAAGGTAACAATTACATTAGGGTCATAATATATAGATTTTAAATGGGCATTGTAATTTTCACCACTAAAACCATGAAACCGCGCCTGATAGCGGGCTATGTGTGAGTATACTGGACATTGCAAAGTTTTACGTAAACTTACCAACCATAAAACATGTTCAACATGTGAGCTAACCTTAAAGCTTCTGTATCCCCACCCCACTAGCAAAATATGTATTTTTTCAATAAGATTTTCATTTGGCAAAAAAATTTTCATTTGGAAAATAAATTTTCATTTGGCAAAATTTTCAAATTGGTATTAGACATGTCAGTTGGTGGTAATAAATATACCAAATATTGTTTTATTGCAGGAAAACCGGTTTACCAAATGTGACCACTGCACAAATTATAAAAAGCAACTAGAGGCAACAATGAATAAAGCTAAAAGAAAGGCCATTCAAGAACTTCTGGATGAACACATTGAACGTGTTATGTAAGTAAACAGAATAATGAGAGTAAAATTTCTACAAATATTATTTGTTTGTCTACTAATTATTTTGCCTGCGTTTTGGGTTTTTGTCCAGCACCTGCGTGATTATACTGTGGTATTAGGTAACAGGGCATTCTTAACCTCTCTGTTGATAGCCAGTATATATCCTGTATAAACAATTCAATAATAATTCTTACCAGGAATGAACGAAGAAAATATTATCTTCATCGGTACAAAGCACGGCGGAGTCCTTCAAAGTACCTAACAATCATATTGGATGGTATGGATCAATCCAAAACTGATGTACCAAATCTTCGAAGAGTCTGCAAATCCACTGCAAACCAGCAAAAGTTGAGAACACATCTTGTTAGAAGTATAACGCATAGTGGGTTGTGTCCCATGGGAAAATTATTCCATGGTATGTTTGACCTTTTTCAATGGGAACATGACAGCAATCTAACAATGAACATTCTCATCAAACTTCTTGCACTGTTCAATGATCGCTATGGTTTACCACTTATACTTAATCTCCAACTTGACAACTGCTGGCGTGAAAACAAAAACAAATATGTTTTAACTTTATTATCTCTTTTGGTGGAATGGTCGGTGTTTGACAAGGTATAGTTAAAATATGAATATGAGATACCTTTAAAACAAAGCCAGACAATTTAGTCACAGCCACAAAGGGTTTACTGTATGTGGGCCCATCTATATGTTTTTTGAAGTTTTGCCTGGTGCTGTAATGAGTGATTGATAGTCTAGTGGGTTCAAAATAACAATATCTTTATTATCGAAGCTAAAAATGTATGTGAAGCTTAGAAAATAGCTTGAGCTAATGATCAAATTAGATCATGTGTGCTTTTTTGTACTTGTACTAATAATGTACAAGTTTTTCAAAGGAGTAATTTTTCACAACAGGAATCTCAATTATGTTTCATACAGTATATATACAAGTTAAAGTAATATTGCATGTAACCTTTAATTTTTCAGATAAAGGGCAACTTTCTACCATTTGGCCATACGCATGAAGACATTGATGCATTATTTGGCTGTTTTTCAAAGCATCTTAAATTTCTTGATGTATATACAGTAAATGGTAAGTCTTAACAGACAAGTACTTACATAAAATTATCTGACATAGTAAATCCTTGGGTGTAGTATATATATTGTTCACATGTTAAAATAGAAAGGCATATACACTGTATATGTTCAACATGGATTTGACCATGCACCCTCTGTCTGATACTGTACACAAACGATTACCATACAATTAGATTTTGTTCTATTCTGCTGACATACAGTGTGACAAAATAACAGAGATAAGCTGATTACCAAAATTAATTGATTACCAAAATTGCCGTTTACAATGTAAAAAATTCTTTTATATTTGAGTAATTTAAGATCATTGTTTTTAAGCATTGTTTCAAAGTTCAACTTTTTGTCATAGTATCTGACATTTAGTGAATGTTATCATGGTTAAATTAAAAAACTATTGAATTCGGGCTTATGCATGTGCTTGCTTTTTGTTTGTGAATCATCAGCTTACAGTGCATACATTGATTTTTTGCACCAATAAATGAAGCAATCAGCCAACAGATAAATATTAATAAGCCATTAGTTGTTTTTTTCTGAATATTTTCTTTTTCTTTTTTTTAGATATAAGAAAAGCATTTGAAGAATGCTGTAACAAGCCATACCCAGAATCTGAGTGTTTATCATGCATTTATGATATCAAGAAGTGGTTGGATGGTCACAGTGAGGACTTACACAATCATGTCAAGCCACACTGCTTTAAATTTGTGAGAAATGAAAAAAACAAAGATGTAATGTATTACAGAAAGTGGAGTGATGATGAATGGATGGGTCCTATTTCTTTATTAAAGGTACCAGTATTCTAAAATTTCTCCCAAAGTACCACAACTATCACAAAGTACTCAAAATTGCTTCAAGGCACTATAAGTTATTGTTTTATTTCATTTTATAAATAGTCAACTCCTATGGACCTGCCAGTCCAAATACCAGCAGATTTTGCAAAGGCAGACTTACCTAAGCTTGCAGTTGACATGCAAAAATGGTTTTCTGTATTGCCCTCAACAGCACAAGAATGGTGGGAATCATTTTTCCAGACAACAGGCAACAATGATGCTACAATTGATAATACGTTTCCAATATTTTCACTGAAAAATCATGTTAGAAGACCAAATGCTGAACCTGTTGAGACAGCTGAAATACCAGCACAGCTATCTGCTTTGAGAGAGAAGGAGCTAGAACAACTAGAAGAGGTAAACAAAAATATTTTAATGGGATTGGATTGATACATTTGTGAAGCATTAACTAATAAGCTTTTATAACAACATAAAACGTTTTAGCACTGAAATGGCAACTCCTATAGTATGAGCATGCTGATCAATGGAACCCTAATCTTATGCAGTTGGCATAGCAAATATACAAATTATTCTATATTTTACATTTATTTTCCTAGATATATACTGGCTCATATCAAGCTCCAGCTTCCCGGGGCATAAATATGGATGATAATTACTTGGCTGCTTTGAAACCTGATGTGTTTGTGGCAGTAAATATATCCAACTACAAAAAAAGGCCAGTCATTGGGTTTACAATACTGGAAGGGAAGTTATAGCACTGCTTGGGAACCCCACATTGTGAATAGTAAAGATGGGTTAACACCATGGGTGGATACCATTCCCAAAGCGGCTATTATAATATGTGCGTTCGAACTTGATGACAAAAATCATTTGCTGGAAAACACCAGAAAATTTATTAAAAAATGGTACAGAGATCACAAAAAAAATCCTAACCATTAGAGGGAAAAGGAACTATACTGTGCCCCAATATTTTTTATATGAGAACCTTATGAAGTACCAAAATGTATTTGTGAGAAACATTTGTATATTTAACCATTCTCAATACAGAATTTACACTAAAACAATTAGTCGCCACAGCTCATATCTACTTTGCCTTCTGCTCAGTGGATATGGGCTTGTAAACACCTTGCCTTCAGGCTTCAACAACTAATAGACCTATATGGATTTAATACAATGTCAATTATTTCTGTATGAACACTAAGAGCAGCATTCCCTGAGAGAATTGCAATATGTGTTATTATAATTCTTGCAGGAAATTCTGGTATTTATTAAGCATTTGATGTCCTAATGCATAAGGAGTATTGTTACTGTGTATCAATGAGCATTAGAAATTGCCATGACTCGATTTATAACCTAAACAAAATATAGTGTTGCAACACTTGCGTATACAGTATTTACTCGGTTTATTTATTGTCATCAACACGCTTTTTTGGGCTGACCTATGATCTTATAAATCAATAAATTTTATTTTATATGCAGAAGACTCGTGCTCACTTACCGGTATTTGATGCATATGGCTGTACTGATTCACCTATCAGATCTTGATAATTTCAGTATAGGACAACCTTCTAAGCTTCGAGTTGGCGAAACCAAAGAAACATTCAGTAATATTTTAAAAAAAACCTTTATTTGTAAAACTTTGTTTGCCTTCTTCGCCATACATGTTTTTAAAATACACAAAACACAATTCAAACACGTATTTATTTTGTGGCCTGGATCTCTGAATATATTAGATCTGATCTAAATATATTAGATCTGATGAACTGATGTGGATATATTTAGTTGCAATTCTTACTATAAATTTGTTTCAATCCGACCCTGTCTGTTGTGTGTTTATCATGTAATATCAGTATGTTGTAGTTTAGGTAGGCAGGGATTTTATTCTTTATGTGGGTGGACTGTGGAGCAAAAGAGCAAGTGGTGTACTGAATGCATGTGATGTAAGCTTTAATACATTGTGCACTACTGAATTTGTCAAATATTATACAATAAATATATAACAATTTACTATGGCACTGCTTTATGGAAACACACTTCTGCAAATTGTTGAGGTTTTTAGGTAGTCTTTTTTTTCATAATTATTCCAATATAAAATAGTTGTTTAAGATTTGTTGACTCTCCTATTACTAATCAATTTCCTACTATATGATTCCATTTGGAACAAGATGTAAATGCCTGAAATTTAGGGTTCCTTTTTGTATTAATCATGTTGCCTTTTTGTTATAATTATTTACTTTGTTGCAAACAAATAGGTGTCCAAAATTCGGAGTCCACTTTGGCAACCATTCTGCCCTTTTCATACAATTGCCTTATTGTAAACAAAATGTGTGTCTGAAATTCGCAGTCCATTTTTGTCATCATTTTGCCATTTTTTCATAACTATTTACTTTATTGCAAACAAAATGGGTGTCCGAAATTCGGAGTCCATTTCGATAATCATTCTGCCATTTTGTTATAAATGTCCCATTGCATTAGCAAATTGGGTGTCTGAAATTCGGAGTCCATTTTTGTCATCATTTTGCTATTTTTTCATAATTATTTACTTTATTGCAAACAAAATGAGTGTCCGAAATTCGGAGTCCATTTTGATAATCATTCTGCCATTTTGTTATAAATGTCCCATTGCATTAGCAAATTGGGTGTCTGAAATTCGGAGTCCATTTTTGGCATCATTTTGCCATGATTATTTACTTTATTGAGGACAAAATGGGTGTCCGAAATTCGGAGTCCCATTTTGTAATCATTTTGCCAATTTTTTTATAATTGCGCCTGTGCAAGTATGTGTATGCAAGTAAATGGGTATCTGAAATTCAGTTGTTTTTTGTAATAATTTAACCATTTTATTTTTGCTGTTCTTTTTAAACATAGTTTTCCGTTTTGAAGAAAATATAAGTTTAGAAAAGGGAAAATTAATCTTTTCTCTAAATTTTCATATATTCATTGATTTAAAGTTGGAAATATATACAGTTTGCAAAAATCTACTAAACTACTACTAAATTAAACAGTGAATTTTCCATTCTGCAAAATTGCAAGAAAATAGTTTTTCAAATTTACCTCAAAAACCGCTTTTTCTTCTGAAATTAAAGGAAAATTATACCTATTTTATATTATGGGTTAAACTGTGCAGAAAAATTAGTCAAATTCTGCAAAATCAAGGATTTTTTTTATGGATTTGGTAGTTTGGAATTGTTGAAAATAATTTGGAACGCGTTCCTATTAGCCCAATTGGTTAAGCCTTCAGCAAGCGAATCATCTAACAAATTATCATTCTCAGAATCTGATGAAGAAATAGAGTTATCATGCCAAGTCTCATCCAAATTTAACCTATCATGATTGCTTAAGTGATTTTCCTCAACAGAGGTGCAGATACGTTTAACAGGCTGGAGGTCATGATCATCTGACACAGTTCCAGTGTCATGGTTCGGGGGTGCTGAATCAAAAGGTAGTTCAAATAATTCCGTATCATCAACTTCAACTGGAATAGGAGCACCAGTACGTTTTAAACTACGAGCTGACGCAGTCCACTTCTTCCTATACTGAGCTCGGTTTGCTTTCATTTATGAAGCTGCAATAAACAACAGGATATAATCACTCATTGCTTTTTTTTGGTTTGAGAAACTACCTGCAGTTGAAACTTTGCAGTGATATTTAGAAATATGAAAGTTAATTAAGTCATCATAAATGTAGGTATACATGCAAAATATACAATATGAATATAACATAAAATATTGAGCAGTTCTAATTGCAAAATCGACTTCTGTGTTGACAATTACTCATGAACTTCTCTTTGAATGTATTTCTCTATATTCCCTGTTTAATTAAAATGACTATGTCAACTACACCCCATGAAAACTCAACACAGTTTGTGGGTGCAACAAAACTGCTGACAAACTTAAAACTTATTTCTTAAATATATTATTCACCAGTAATTACTTGAATCAATACCAATATTTTAAAATATTATAGTCATACAACTATTCAATATTAATGTTACAGTATTCAGAATAATAAAAAATGCCAAGTATATGATGTAGTCATGCTGTAGGATCTATTATGGTGCATTCTTATGAAGGATCTATATATTATGGTGCAACAAAAATTTGTTTCAGTTTTAACAAGATTGATTAATTATCAAAACCTGCAAACTCCAAAATCTATACCATAAATTTGTGGTCACAGCTGGGCAAATGGGTTGTGTTGCACAAACATTGAACTTTAAATATCAAGTTCAAACTTTAAGTGCACACAGGTATCACAGTGCCATACTACATGTAGGCCTATGTACATGTAGGCCCATATATATAAAGGGCCTGCTCCTGCTTGCCGGGAAATTGTAGAATGTGTGTCAACTCTCATGCTTTTACACATACTGTATTTTTCAATTACCTTAAAAAGCAATTTGATAATTAATGAAAAAGATTTAAGTGGAGCCATTTTAGAGGTAAATAACTTAAAATAAGCAAATTTGAGCACGGCAAACATTATTTCTTACATACTGTACATGATACATTTATGACTATATCATGTATGACTGTATGACTTTAACAGTGGATGATCAATTTACTTTTTTTGAATAAGCTCTTCAATTATTAAACATATAAAAAGATAAAAGAGAGACAATTTACACCTTATCTAATGTACTAGAGTAACATAAATTATTTATACTTGATTGAATCAGACCAAACTGGCAATTATTGATGGATTGAACTCAACCGATTTCAATCCTTCTTAAAACATGCCCATCCGTATTGGAAAGGTGTAATATCTCTTTTATCTTCAATTAAAGTTTAAACTATGATTTAATTATTCTATATAAAGCCGTTTAATGAAACGATAACTGT